ACTGGCCCAATCCAGATCCCTGATAACCTATCTTTCCATAATAAATTTCAGAACCATCCGAACCCTCTCGTTTCTAACCTTGCTTCCTATTAGATCCCTGATAACCCTTCGAGGCGTCTGAAAAGAAGGTGCCCTCGAGATCTTCTATTTTAAATACATTATATTTTTAGAGTGGTACCAGTGGGTAGTTCCTCAAGAAGTTTTTTCGTGTTTTTATTTTCTTTTATCACATTTACTTAATGTATTCTTTCTTAATACAGTTGTAAATATCAAAAATAAAAAAAAATGCCACAATCAAATGTATAAACATTAATTAATTTGAATATTTTGGTTATGAAATAAGTTTGTGGCTGAACATGACAGTGAGTGACAATGCTCAATTAATCTGTTGTACCAACATTTTAATTCCTTACCATTATTCTCACTTTATTTGAAAAAAAAAATATTGTTAAGTGTTCTGAGAATCAGAAACGCAAAGAAATGTTATCGAGTATAATTTAAATAAAATAATGTTTTCAACATTTATTTCAATATGCCCCAGACATTTTAATCAATAAATTGTGACTGTTTACTTAAGTTCACTTAATATTTATGTTTCCCCTCTTCTCGACGATCACTTCTCCGAAATGGATTCGCCTCATATTTCGAGGACAATATACAGGCTTGGTGTGGGAGTGAGGAGGTCTCCTAAAGGAATCGACTGGCGTGGAAGCCGTATTTTAACGTTTTTATTTCTCACTTCTTTATGTTCCTTCGTTTGAGAATGAAGGACGGTTCCGTGTAGTTGCAATGATCTCTTTTTGAACGGGAAGATGAACCTGTTCCTTTTTATAATAATAATATTTCATAAAAACAGGTTACTTTATTAAATCTGTTGTTGTTTTTCTGCACTCGTGGTGGAATTCGAAATAAAACGTCTATTTTTGAAATTTATCTTTAAAAAAATGTAGATCAATGACCTGTTAGTAGATAAACCTCGCAAAATAAACCTCGATCCTTTATATACGAATAGCGTTTTCCTTTTTTTGTTTTCCTTATTCCATAGTAATTTCGAAAAGAGATGCTAAATTTATTATCATAATTATAAAATTTTAGCATTAAATATATTTATGTTTCTAACAAAATAGACTATTTATTCACGTATTTCATATTTTATAGTGATTTTTTTTCCTCTACGAAATGGCTTAAAAAAAAAAGATTATACACCAAAATAAATAAAGAATACTTTGTGTGTTGATGAACACAATACTACGCAGTACAACTTTTTTACTTTCAAAAATTCTCAGAACTTCAAATTTCTCATTAAATAAATTAATTTACTCAATTCAATAACAATCAAAATAAATTAATTAACATTCATGAATGCCCATTTACTTTTCACTTAAATAGTAAGATGATTTGATCACCAAACCGAGAGAAAAAAAATGTCCTACGAAAATATTGAGCTTCAGAAATAATAGTTCAGCCTATATAACCTCGTTATTTTAACCTATTGTGGTGGATGTATCTCCAAGCAGTCTAATATTTTTGTAGGTCGCCTTTTTTTCTGGAATCCCTGATAAAATTATATTACGATTCAAGTGGGAAGCAAATAGGTGTTCATTAATTATTCATTAAGTAGACAAAGTTAAGTTATCTCTAGATCGAAAACGCTCTATCCGAGAATTTTCGTAAATGAAAAAAAATGTAGGCTACGATAACATGAAACCATTCATGATGTTTTAAACGGATGTTAATAATTTGCTAAGGAACAAGAAGAACATTTAATATACATGGTCACATCGTTTAAGAGACTTATTATAAATAGTGTGTTATAATTCAACATTAATAACACTTCTTAGTAAACGTCACTCAAAACGAGTTATACATTTCGAAATGTTAACAATTGGTAAAAGATTGAAATTGATATCGTGTAATATTAATAAATAAAAAATATTACTTATGAATGTTTACTTTGATCACTATGTTTTCTAGTCGTAGTCATAATCATATATATTTTTTTAAACGACTTACATTAGGTAAAAAAAAAATCTTTGATTATGAATTAGAACCTTTTTTGGTTATTAAATTTGTGTATCATTTTTCAATCTTTTCAAACAAAACCCTTATTTATGAATTGTTCTTTCAAAATGAATTCTATAATAGATAAATCTGTTAATTACTGTTTCTTGCATCTTTAGCTAAAAATATAAGATATTCACTGTGAAATTTAATTTTAATTTTAATTAAATTATTTAAAATATAAAAACCTTTTTCAAGTATATTTCTGAAATCGGATTTTTCATCTAAGGAATTTAATGAAATCTGCATTTCTTAAAAAAAAAATTCATCTAAAGCTTTTTTTTTATCAATTGTATTCTAATGAAATTTAAAAATAAATTAATTTTATTGTAAACATAAAGGTTTTTATAGTACAATTTTTATAACTCCCTTCCCTCAGAAGCATACACCAATTGTTCTCTACAAACCAAACCACATTCTACACATTTGTTTATAAAAAACTTGCTGTTTAATTCTTTGAAAAAAGGGGGCATTTCATGTTTCTATGTTTTTTAAAATTAATATTCAAATAATCAGAGATTTTATTAAATATGTTGTAGAAATAAAGAATTACATAATTTATTATTTAAAAAATATTCGTTTTGATTGTACAATTGGAATAGAAAATACAGTTTTTTATGTTTGCTAAAAAAATGTTCAATGATGACTAGTTATTGTGGGTCAGATATTGTGTCTGTTATCTTCTTCTTCTTCTATAATCAAAGTGTCCTAATGAACAAAAAAATTACCTTTCGATAAGTGAAAATTCTAAAAAAAAGATACGAAGCCTTATAGATCTCTGTCAAGGAGATAATAATGGAATGAATAATCTCGTATGAGGCTACAAATTGTCGTTTGGTTATCTTCCATGTAAACAGGCGGGGCGGGAGGGGGGGGGATTATAGGAGGGGCGGGGTGCGTAAGATAAGGTTGGGACGCGGCTCCTTCCATATGGAACATCATTCGTTTCAAAACAAGTTAATGATGATTATATATTACATATTATATATTTTATTAATTATTTTGTTAAAGTAAAAACAAAATTATATTTTGTGAAAATACAGTGTCTCACAATACTAACAATGAAATTGATATACCCCGTTGAAAAATATTTAAAAAAAATAATTTAAGGGTTACAGTAAATGAATGAAACCAGAAATTCTTCAACAGATTTATTTTATAATCTCATTTTAAATATGTACAAACTCAATAAAATTTAAATTAAAAAAAAAATGGATAATTTTACCTCACAATCAAAATGATACACCTCATTTCTTATAAATTTTGTAAATACTATTAATTTAATTTAACACCTCGTAGGAAAATTATTATTTTCTACCACTCCTTTTAGTCTGTAATGGACTCTAGCAATTGTTTGGTGATTCGGAGCTTAGCCTGTTCCATTCTTAGAAATTTCGTGTTTTCTAATTTCTACCTTCAATTTTACTCAGCTCCTTCTGTATTACTATTGATTCCCCTACTTCTCCTTTCTTTCCTCAACATGCGGGCGTACCACAAGGTAGTGTTTTAAGCCCTCTTCTCTTTTCACATCTGACATCCCTGAGCACCCTAGCACCATTCTCTATAGCTTTGCTGACGATACGGCAAATTATTTCTTCTCACAAAGATCCCACTATCGCTTCAATAGTTCTTCAAAATCACCTCCACAACCTTGAAAAATGGTTTCACAAGTGGAGAATTAAAATAAATCCCAGCAAGTCAACTCACGTTAGCTTCTTCCTGAAGAAGATCTCCTGTCCTGCATTGACAATAGACAATAAGCCAGTTTCCTCAAAAACACATGTATGGTATCTCGGACTATACTTGGACAAAAACCTCACCAGGAACATTCACACTAAAATAAAAAAACAAGAACTGACCAGACGATACAAACAATTATCACATCTTTTGGATTAGAGATCTCCACTCAACTTACTAAACAAGCGACTGATCAACACCACCATACTAAGACCTATTTGGACATATGGAGCAGAACTTTGGGATTCCGTAAAACACACACACATAAACAAAATTCAAACCACACAATCCAAAATACTTCGTAAAATCGTCAATGCTCTTTGGTTTATTTCAAATCACACCATACACACAGACATGAACATAACATAAGTAAAATTCTAAATACACAAGTACACAACATTTCATTCTTCTACTCTCAATCATCCAAATCCACTCGTTCTATCTCTATCTTCCTCCCTGTTACCTAGTGAGTCTCAACGATGACTAAAAAGGCAATGGCCTATAGATCTTCTGCTGGCAAGTTAAGAAAATATCAAGAATACAAGAAGATAGAATAAACTCCAACACATTTGCTTCATGCGTTACAACGCAGTGGCAAATTTAATATAAAATAAATAATAAAATTTTACTCAAAGGTGTTCTAACACATTATCTAAATATAAAATAAATAATAAAATTTTACTCAAAGGTGTTCTAACACATTATCTTGTGACTGTGGTGGTATTTTTATAATTTTAGGACACTTATAAAGTAGCCATTCCTTATCTGACATGGCAGAGTGTTTGTGATCATTATCTTGATAAAAACAAAATTTGTTTTTAGCCTAAATTTTCCATAATTTCTTTAAATTTTCTTCCCAAAACGTCTTTGTAAACATGTTTTCATATTTGCACAACGTATTTCTTATATAGGTAAGTGAAAGTAAAAATAAAGTTTTTCTCCCGTTAAAGAACTATAAAAACAATTGAGTGATAAATTTAATTCATTTTCAATTTAAAACGATTTATCCCTCATATTTTACCGTGATTGATTGATTGAGGATGGAGTGAGACAAATGGAACCGAGTAAAAAGTCTATTATGTCACCTGTCCATAAAACACAATCGCTCATCAACTTTCAATAAAATAAACACAACTATTATAATTACAATTTAATAAATATAATAATAATCCGATAATTTATACGCATATTTATTTTTTTAGGAAACTTCCCCGCGGACAGACAGGCAGTAGGTGCTACTCCTACTTATGTGGAAAAATCAAAAGAAGGTAATATATATTTATTTCATTAAATTATTATTATTTAAATTTATTATTATTTGATTTTTAATCAATCATTAATAAACTGTAGCCACATTCATCCCACCTCCAAAAAATAAAATATATTTTTAGAAATGGCTGTTTTAGTGTTTTTATATATATATATTATTCTGAAGTTTATATTCTTTCATATTATAAGGTCACAGCTACTTTTTAAGAGCTTAGATTTATTTGTCCATATTAATTGTTTATTAGTAAAATATTTGATTTAGAAAAGAACAGCTCTGTCTACTCCCATTCAAAGTACGAAATTTTCCATCTGGCTTAATTCATATAATTTTGTGACCTTGATACCGAATTTTATTCGATGTTCGTGATAAAAACCCATAACCAGGATATTTAGCAGGATCGGAGATACAGATACGGTTGCTATCCAGCAATAGCAAATACAGTAACCTGTCATTGTGGTCGGGTATCTCGAGATATCTATAACGACGGCTCCCAGGCTGGCTATAGCCGTCTAGACACTCTTCCATATTATCGACTGCTTCGCCAGCCAGCCACCTGTTTTAGCTCAATCTTCTCTCTCTCCTGTTGAAACAAGTCCTCCATTATTAAATATAATAATAATAAACTATAGAGAGGAACACTTTATTTTCATATAAAATATAAAAATAATATAAATAATGTTCTTCAATATGAATTAATCCCTTTTAGGAACAAAATGTGTTTTCCGTTATAAAAATTATATGTAATTGGAAACTCATACAAATTACTTCAAACACTATCAGATCAATGCACTGGTGTTTTTTTAGAGGGGTGAGTCTTCGTGTTAAAGCCTTCTCCTCCCAAATGAAAAAAATAAATTTTTGTTTCATTGGTCCAGATTTGTTTCTGTGAGTGATCTAAGCTGAATATTTAAACAATAAAAATATGTATTATTTTTTAATTACAACGCATGTTTATCAGCTATCAAATGTAAGCACGTTTCAAGAAAAAATATTTAAAAAATTATGAATTATAAAAATTACAGTATTATTGTTTCGCTCAACTGTTTTTTTTTTTTTTGTTTTCTTTACATACTATAAGGATCACATAAACATTATTTTATATAGTCTCTTCCTTTTCTTTCACATGAAATACCGTTATTTAAAAAAAAAACTCTATGCCCCAAAATTTAATCCTGGATCCGTTAATAGAATAATGCATTTCAAACAATTTTTTCCATATATAGATTCACAGTCTTTATTATTTACTACAATAGTTTATATATTTTAAATTAATAAACTTTGTGTACAAATACAATGCATATTGGTTTTGAAATTAATAATTCAGATTTATTTATATCTTTTCTGAAGTTAGCCTTACATCAGAAGATTTAATATATTATCATTAAAATGTACAATCTCTTTGCGAAATATGTTATATTATATTTGAAAATATAAAATACATTACTTCTTATATGTTATTTTTCAGTTAACTATTATGAATGTACCACAAGTATGAGAGTTTTCTGTCAATTTTTACATATATAGTAATTTCAACCTTGCTTAACAGTCAGAAGTCCTGTATTAATCTAGTTTTGGTAGGTGTACCCCAAGTGTAAATACTCCATTATCGTGCATTACATAACATTATCTTTAGTCGTCGAGAACCTAAATGGCATAATTTATATTTAATGATCGACATTACCACAATTTCACATTACAGTACGGTGAAATTTCTGGATGCCGGACAGTCATGGAAATTCTTTTTACGGCCTTTAACGAGTGGTGTCCACAATGCAAAGATTTTTTCGTTTACATTTTAGGTGTGTAAATACACTTAAAATGCTATATGAAAAAGAAATGTACAAGGGTATTAATTGTTTAAATCTTCTATACATATAAATACACTATTTTAAGTGTATTTACACACTTAAAATATAAAGAAAGAACCTTTGCATTATAGAAGATTGATATTATGTATTATGTATTCATATAAATGAATATGAATTATTAATTTCAAAACCAATATTCATTGTTATTTCTACACATGTACCATATACACAAAGTTTATTAATATAAAATATATAAATTATTGTAGTAAATATTAAATAGGGAAAATATATTTATGGAAAAGAATTGTTTGAGTGACATTAATCTAGTAACGGATCCAGGATTCAATTTTGGGGCATAGAGTTTGGTTTTTTTAAAATAACAGTATTTCATGTGAAAGAAAAAGAAGAGACTGTATCAAATAATGTTTATGTGATTCTTATAGTCTGTAAAAAAAAGGAAAAAAAAAGAAAACAGTTGACTGAAACCATAATACTGTAATTTTTAATTAATAATTTTTTAAATATTTTTTTCTTGAGACGTGCTTAGATTTAATACCTCAAATATTATGTAGTATATGATAATGGAGTACGTATTGACGCTTGGGGTACACCTATCAAAACTAGATTAATACAGGACCTGACTCTTAAGCAAGGTTAAAATTACTATGCAGTCAGAAAACTCTCGTACTCATATATGTGTGTATATATATATATAAAGTATTTACAAACATTTGAATTATTTAATATATACATACAACATACCACGGGAATGCTGTAGTTGTGCATATTGGAATAGCATATATCAAGAAAACATTAAAATTATGATGTGATTAATAAAATAGAGCTTTTAAAAAATGATCAAATCTTTAAAGAAAGTAAAAAACTTAGAAAGTTAATTGCTTTGAACATTTTTTACGTTTTGATTATAAAAGGACTTCTATAAATAATTTAAGAACTTCAGCGATTTCGCAATCTATGAAATAAAGTGTGATTTTTTGGTTGGAAGCCATAGAGTTAATGTTATCTGTTTCTCTTGCTGTAAGCAAAGAAACAAACCTTACGCTGTTCTTTAGTAACACATTTTTAATAACTATTTTCGGATCATTTTCTTCATCCGCCTACTCTATCTTGAGCATCTTTAGAAAAGAGATTTTAAAAGTAATGTTTATTCATAGTTCATTGCAGGTACATTTAAAGTTGACCTGTAAATAAATATGTCCGTTAAAGAGACAGGTCCTTATCAGGAATTACTATATTAATCTTCGAGTTGAGAACCTCAGGTTTATCAATATGTTACATATTATCAAATTTGTTATATTTGATAGTATTAGAAAAGAAACTTAACTGTTGAGTAACTGGAGTAAAAAATAACTGGAGTGACTGTTATAACTGTGGTGTCGGTAATATTTTGGGAGCGAGACGTTGGAGCACACTATCTGAACATCTAGACATCGCCTGGGTTTCTTTACCTGTTAAACATCACCGACACCTCAAGGTCAAACATCCAGCCCCCTGTCGCTTCGTAAAATATGAACTCCATTCTCCTTTATGGAACAAATATCTAATATCTTCGCTTTTCAAATATCACTATCATCAAGTTTATAATTTCCTACGCGCATAATATAATTACATCACGTTAATAACGTGTTTATTATTTTGAACTCATCATAAAATAAAATTACACCAAAGTAGAGGAAAATCCTGATTTGTAGGGAGGAAAAAATCTGCTGATTACGCAAATTTAGCGTTAGTATAGTAGGAGAAGGTTTAAATATGAATCACGAATGTGCATGTTATTTTTAGTAAAATGAACCTTTTCTGCCATTTCAGAGTCTGTGGCTTCACGTGATGATTTCCTGTGACTTATAATTTAATGAAGATAATGTTCACTAACTTTTTCCTTTTTTTTATTATTATTATTTATATGATATTTACAACTGTATAAAAAAAATACATCTAGTAAATTCGTACATGGATATAATGACATGACACGCATGTTGAGAAACTAAACATTGGTAGAACTCTAATAATATGTCTATATTAGGAGATCACGGGACCATCTTCTTTTCAGACGCCTCGGAGGGTTATCAGGAATTGAATAGGAAGCAAGGTTAGAAACAAGAGGGTTGGGATAGTTATGAAGTTTATTATGGAAGGATAGATATCTGGATTGGGCCAAATCTGAAACGTAAGGAACATTAGGGTCATTGTGGATGATTTTATTTGCAACAAATTAAGGAGCATTGAGGATTTTACGAAGGATTTTGAATTGTAAGAATTGGATACGAGAGGAATTTGAAGGTTTGGTGGAGCCTTCACTAACTTAAGAATTGTAACAGACATTTTGCGAAAAAACACGTACTATCTCGGGAGAACTTTCTACCATGGATCGAAAGAATCATAAACTTTTTAAAATAACTTTGATTTTAAAGGTATTTAACAAACTTATTAAGAAAAATTCGCGCAATAACAATTATTCTTATACCTTGAAGATTTCCAAGGATCTCTCAAACTTTTTGAACAACTAAAATAAAAGTGTAAGTTTAAGGACAAATTTTTTGTTCTTGATTGAGATTATATAAAATTTATTATAATTTGAAATGAGTGAGTGAACGTTTACACACACTGGTGTTTATTTTCGTGTGATGATGACAACAATGAATTTTCAATTTCGGGATTTCTGTAATTACTATTTTTCATATCATTGTATAAAATATATAAAAAAATATGTTTCTGAAATCGTTTTTTTTTTTTTTTTGGCTAAAAACATTTTATAAATAAGTTTCAGAATAACCCGTTTAGTGAAATTTTATTTTAAAATTACTACAGACGAGTCTTGGTCTCGCTTTTGGGCAACATTATTTGTTGACTAACTCCATTTTCAACATTTTATTATTAATTTTAGTGATATTTTTCGTGGGTAAATTTATACCTTTATTCACCCTTCTGTATTTCGATACTTCAGTCAACTACTCTGGAATCAACTTACGCACTGTATGTGTATATATTATAAATTTTCTACTACTAGAAATATCACTAAAATGGCTTTACTAAAAAATGTTGAAATAGGAGTTATCCATACTGTCCACTGAAAGGCTTATATGATAAATGAAAGGGTATGTGTCATTATCATGCACTTACCAACACTTTTGAATAGAGAAATAAATTCGAAATTCATAAAAGCATATTT